TTTTTATTTTTTGTATTTTAGGAAAGGGTCTACAGGGTGTTCAGGATCTCACCTCTAGGTCAGACTCCTAGTGATCCCCCTGTTTACAACCTCCCAAGAGCTGGGATTACAGGCCCAGGCACCTGCATGCCCAGTCTCAGTCACTATCTCAGTGTGCCTGGGGGCAGGACCAGCACAGCAGGCCCAAGAATCCAAACCCCCCAGCTCCTGTACCTACTTGCAGGCATTGTCAGGGTTTTTTATAATGAGTGTTTATTCATTACAACCACAATATAAAGACAGTAGTACACTAGCTTAATTAAAGATCTATAGCACTAAATATTTTTCTTTTCCAACAATATCTTCATGTGCAATTGATCACTCGCCTTTGTTTTGTTTTGGTACCAAGAGTCAAACTCATAGCCTCTTCTTGCCAATCAGTGCTGTGCCACTGAGCTAGCTCCCCAGGGGTTAATTTGCCTTTGTGAAGACAGGATTGTCTCCCACACTGTGATGCAAGCTCTCTGAAAGCAGCTACCATATGTGTTGGGCTCAAGATGGGCAGCACATGCTGGCCCTTAGTGGCCACTTAGAATATGCTGAATACTCATATACACTTTGGAAGGATGGGGCAATTTGGTAACGACTCCTGTTTCAGGTGTGTTGAATTCAAGGTATCTGCTCTATTCCAGGGAGCCCATTTATTGCAAGGCCAGTTTCTCATTTTGCCGTTCCTGTGCTTGAAATAATCAACTCACACATCCCAAACCAGCAAGCCCTCTGGTTCCTTTCAATTAATAGCCCATCATCTACTGAGTTCTGCCAGGGTTGGGAGACATTGATATATGATGTGTTCCAAGTGGCCTTTACTAAGTCTCTCCCTCCTCTCTCACATAAGTATATACCTCTTTTCCACAATTTTAAATATGGCTGTTCCCCCTAATCTCTAGAAAAACCATTTACCTCAGCATAAAAATAGCCCAGGATCTCAGGCCAGGTCAATTTTAGGACTTTGCTGGAAACTTTTTTTTTTTTTTTAATTTGTGTGTGTGTCTGTGTCTGTGTCTGTGTCGGTGTGGCCAGCTCAGCCCACCTGGGGGCGGGGCTGCCTGGCATGTGGTGCTGGGGGATTGAACCACGGTCCCTGTGCTTTGCTAAGCTTGTTCTAAGTAGGTGCTTTAGACCACTGAGCCATCTCACCAGCCCCTAGAAACTTCTTTAATTGTTCAGTGACCACATGTGGCAGAAATATAGAACCACCCAATCTATCTACTACTGCTACTCTGGGCAGCTGTTACTAAGGGCAGTGAATAAAATCTCTATAATTAGTGTTGCCAGATAAGAAACAGGACATTCAGTTCAGTATGAATTGCAGATACTAATATTTTAATATAAGTATCCCATACAATACTTAGAATATATTCACTAAAATTATTCAAGCCAGGTGTCTGTAATCCTAGCATGTGGGAGGCTGAGGCAGGAGGATTACTGCAAATTCAAGACCAGCCTGGGGGCTACAAAGTTGAGCACAATGCCTACCTAAACTTTGTAGCAAGACCCTGTCTCTAAATAAATAAATAGAAAACAAGAAACAAAATAAAATTCCCGAGTAATTTCTGAGTACACTGTAGAATGTATTGAAGGAGATAAGGGGGCTAGGGAGACAGCTTAGTAGAGTAAGCGCTTCCCTGACAAGCGCAAGGGCCTGAATTCAATCCCCAGTGCCAAAAAAAAAAAAAAAAAAAAGAAAAAGAAAAAATTTGTTCATATTTTTCTTACCTAGGCCAACAAACTAAAGTGCATTACTATTCATACTCAAGGGGCCGGGGAGATGGCTCAGTAGAGTAAGCATTTACCTGGCAAGCACAAGGCCCTGAGTTCAATCCCTGGTACCACCAAAAAAAAAAAAGACAAAAAAAAAAATTCATATTCAAGAAGTCTTGAAATGCTGTTTTGGAAATTCATTCTGGAAAAACCAAGATACAGAAATTGCTAAACACTGGATGCCTTAATTGCTTCTTTATTTCTAGGGGTTCAATATTGGTCAAATGTAGAGTTCCCAAAAGCTCATGTACTCTTTAGCATATATTTTGGGGGTTTGGTTTGGTTGTTTGAGGCAGGAGCTCATTATGTAGAGCAGGTTGGCTTTGATCTCAGGTAGCTCAGGCTAGCCTTGAACTCATATGTTTTCCTTTTGTTACTTTGTCACTTGTGCTTTTGTGTTATATCTAAGCAACCATTGCCTAATCCAAGATCTCAAAGATTTACTTGCTCCTATATTTGTTCCATTTTACAATTTTAGCACATTCAGGTCTGTGATTCATTTTTATTTATTTTTATTTATTTTTTGCAGTACTGGCTGCAATTCATTTTTAATTACTGTTGTATATGGTGTGATATAGGGGTTCATCCGTATTCTTTTGCGGCTAGATATCTTGTCAATTGTCCCAGCACTGTCTGTTTAATACGAGTCTTTTGTCCACTGAATTACTAGCTTATAGAAATGTGATAGGTTTTTGTATATTGGCCTTGTATCCTGCAATAAGAATGGCCTGTATAGTTATTTATGGACTCCTTAAATTTTCTATATACAAAATCATATCATCTACTAATATAATTTTACTTTATCCTATTAATCTGGGTGCCTTCTGTTTCTTTGTCTTGCCTAGTTTCCTTGGCTAGAAACTGTATTGCAATGTTGAATAGAAGAACAGACATCTTATTTCTGCTATTGGGGAAAAGCTTTTAGTCTTTTATTCACCAAATAG